CGAAATTAGAAATTTGGCGTTTTTCGGTCGGTAGTGGAAATATTGATATCGGGGTTGGAATGGAATTCCGAAAATTGGAGTAGGTCCGTTATATCATTTGTGACATGTGTGCAAAATTTCAGGTCATTCGGGTGAGGTTTGATAGGTTTCGGCATCGTTAGCAGAATTCGAAAGTTTGGAAATCCTTAGGTTTGAATCCGAGGGTGATTTGGTATTTTGATGTTGTTTTGAGTGTTCTGAAGGTTTGAATAAGTTTGAACGATGATATGTGACTTGTTGGCATATTTGGTTGAGGTCCCGAGGGCCTCGGGATGATTTCGGGAGGTTGACGGATCAAGGATGGGATTTGAGGAAGTGCTGAAGATTGCCTTCAGCTGTCAGAACCGCACCTGCGGAGTGCGGACCACAGGTGCGAGGCCCGCAGAAGCGCATAAGAAGTCGCAAATGCGGCCACCATAGGTGAGAAGGGCAGGAGCCGCAGGTGCGCGCATGGGACCGCACCTACGTGATCGCAGATGCGGGGTTTCGACCGCAAAAGCGATTTTCGAGGTTTAAGTGAAAAACTGCACCTGCAATGTATATTCCGCAGGTGCGGTGTCGCAGAAGCGACTTATGGACCGTAGATGCGGAAGTTCTGGACAGAAAGTATATAAGATATCCTTCGCGAATTTCAGTTTACTTTTCACCATTTTTGGACGGCATTGGAGCTTTTGAGGGCGATTTTGAGGAGGAATTCAAGGGTTTATCAGCAAGGTGAGTGGCTTGAGCCCTAATACTTGTATATGTGATGATTTCCCTTTGTTTAATCATGGAATTTGTGGAAAAATTAGGGATGAAATTGGGGAGTTAGTGCTTGAAATTGGAGAGTTTAATTTGAGGATTTGAGGGGTCATTCGACGTCGGATTTTGATGGTTTTGGTATGTATAGACTCGTGAGTGAAAGGAGTTTCTAGTTTTGTAATTTTTATCGGATTCTGAGATGTGGGCCCGGGGGCCGGGTTTGAGTTCAATTCGGGATTTTTGATCTAATTTGATAATTTTCGTGCGGAATTCATTCGTTTAGCGTATATTGATGATAATATACTGATTTTGGTTAGATTCAGAGCATTTGGAGGCCGAGTCGAGAGGCAAGGGCATCACGGGTTAGAGTTTTGTCCGGTTTGAGGTAAGTAATGATTGTAAATCTTGTCCTGAGGGTATGAAACCCGGATTTCATATCGTTGCACTATTTTGAGGTGACGCGCATGCTAGATAACGAGAGTGAGGGCGTGCACCGTTGGGGATTGTAACTTGGTCCGTCCTGTAGCAACTATTAAGTTGCGTATTTGACTGAAAACTATTTGATACTTATGTGCTTTGGAAAGTATTACTATGTTTTGGGCTGAATGCAATATTTGGGCCTCGTGCCAAGCTGTTTGAACCCTTAGGGGCTTTTTACTACTATTCCTCACTGTTTTGAGCTAATATCTGTACTCAGTCATGCTATATTTTTACTGATTTCCTAACTCAGTCTTATTTACTCCGTTTTGATGCATAAAATGATATTTGGGGCTGAGCACCCTGTTTTACTGTTAGCCCGAGTGACTTGAGAGGTTTCTGACTGAGTGAGGTCGAGGGCCCGTGTTGTGAGGATATTGTGGGATCGGGCTGTGCGCCGCAACATGTTGTTACTAATTTGTGATCTTGAGAGGCCGATGGCCTAATTTATTATACCACGAGATGGCTTGTTATAGCGCTTGGGATGTAGGAGCCCTTTCGGAGTCTGTACACCCCCAGTGAGCGCAGGTACCCTGAGTGAGTGATATGATGTTGCCCGAGGGGCTGTTCTTGATTAATATTGTGCCCAAAGGGCTGATTACGAGCGATTTTGAGATTGCCCGCGGGGATAATTCTGAGAGATATTATACCCGAGGGGCGGTTTATGATACATATTTTGCCCGAGGGGCTCTTTATGATTTTCATCACTTTTACTCTAAACTTCATCGAACCTCTGCTGAAACTGTTGAAAAAATATCTTCAAATGATTTTATTGAAATTGGATTTTTACGAGATGATTTGATTTATATACTGTTTTGAAAGCGTACCGTACTTACTGTGATTTTATGACGTGGATTTATGTGTTTCTTACTGCTCAGTCTTTATTTACTTTTATTAATTGCTGAGTTGGCATACTCACATTACTCCTTGCACATGCAGATCCAGGAGTTGCGGGTCGTGATAGCGAGCGCTGATCTTTCATCCGTCGCGGATATTCGGAGTCGGCAAGGTAGCTGCATGGCGATCGCAATCTTTCTCTTCCCCCTCTTATCTCCCTTAGACTATATTAGTGTTTTCCAGACTGTGATAGTCTTAGTTGTATTCAAACAGTCCTTAGTAGATGCTCATGACTTGTGACACCCCGATGTCGGGCCTTTGTTCTTTCCGCACTTGTTATTTAGACTTATGCTGTGAAATTTTGTTAATTAATAGCTTAAAACATCTTATTTATGAAATATCGATTTGTTTTGGGATTGTGTCGGCTGGCCTAGTTTCATGATAGGCGCCATCACGACCGGGTTGATTTTGGGTCGTGACAAGGACACCATATCCTTAATATTTACACTGCACACATGAAGTTAAGGATACCATGTCCTTAACTTTTACACTGCACATATGAAGTTAAGGACATGATGTTCTAAAGTTTAACAGCAGAAGGTGCAAATACAGGACACTTTGTCCTTAGTATTTACACAGCACTCATGAAGTTAAGGACGCCATGTCCTTAATATTTACACAACACTCATGAAGTTAAGGACGTCATGTCCTTAACATTTATACTGCACATATGAAGTTAAGGACAGGATGTCCTACAATTTAAAACAGAAGGTGCTAATTCAGGAATCTTTGGCCTTAATATTTATACAGCACTCATGAAGTTAAGGACACTATGTCTAGCACAGGGGTATTTTCGTCCGGGCGGGTAAAAATTTATTAAAGCAATGGCTAAAGAGTAAATACATTTTAAACAATGACTTAAGAATACATACAGCTCTAATTAGTGGCTAATGGTGCACTTCCCCCGTGATATGTCCGCTTTGGGTCAAGCCCGCACGGTTTTCTCCAAAAGGCCTCACACCGTTAAGAGATTCCTACACCTTATATGCAGATTCCCAATCTTTTCAGCTACCCATGTAAGACTTTGTTCGCACACACAACGTGACAGATTCAACCTAAACCCACAATGACTTAACATGCCAACCCCGCCCTGCATTTATTATTGACCAGAATGGCGACTACCCTGGTATTCTCTCCTCCAAAATCAAATCCCTCTCTGTTCGGCGCCGGCTGAAAGCGAAGCTACAAAACAAATAAATATTAAAAAGAAAAGTTTCTACCATCATATGCCGACAATTATTCTTGGCATATGCTACCTGTGACTGCGACATTTTTTCTTTTTTTTTTTCCTTGACTTGTGACTTAATCAATAATTATCTCACAACACTTATCTTCATATCCTGATATTAGATCATTTGTGTAAAACATGCCATGTGAATCATATGTCCAATGTATGTGGCCCTTTCATCATCTTTATAATCAAATTACACAATCAATTAAGTACATATAAAGAAAAATACAAGAACACTAAATTGCCAATATTTGATAGTTCATTAGCTTCTTTATCGTTAATCAAGAGATTAAAGAACAAATCTCAACCATTGAAGATACACATGAACACGTGACACTAATCTAAAAATTAAAATAACATGGAAAAGTAATCTATTAATATCTACATGAGATAAATCTCACACATTTTTATAGGAACTTTGGAAAATGAAAAGGAGCCGAATTCCTATATTTTGTGCACATACAAAGAAATTTGTCGAATTTAGACTGCTTTGATATGCGTTTAATTATGGAGTAATGTGAAACATGCACAAAAGCGAGCTTTCAGTTTTTGTTGGTTTTATTAGAGTATATATGGCCTAAAGCCCTAAACCATATTGGAAAAAATCTTCTTCTTCGTTGTTTCTTTCTTTTTGAGAGATTTGAGAATACTGATTCACATTACGGAGGCGAAACTAGAATTTTGAGTTCTGCATTTTATAAAAGATAGCTTATCAGGTTTTGAATAAATTGTTTGTATATATTAAGTGGATTTTTAAATATAAATATAATATGTGCGTTAAAACAGTCGAATCTTTAATAAGATTTATAGCTCCGTCAACGCATATGTATAATTCTTTCACAAAAATAGTTGTAGGACATAGGCAATAGGATGTAATATGTTGGGAAAGTACATGAATTTCCTGAGAAAATACACGTTAATTTCCTAATCTTATCCAAATCAACTGATGATACTATCACATAAATATCCAAAAATCTTTCCCAACTTACATGTCAAATCCATTGTACGTACATCTCCATGTTTAAAATTGATTATTTCTTGTCACCACCAACCAATAAATAACAAAAATTTGTACTTATCAATTCCTAAACATTTTGTTTGTTACTTTTGACAACTTAACAACTAGAGCAAAGAGGTGATAGTTAACAGCGACATATGTAAATGAAACTATATTTCACAACCAGTCAAATTCTTAAAAGTTTTCTTTTTTTGGTTTCCCACCAAGTATCCGATATTCGCATTGAAATCCGATTAAATTAGAATTCGCGCCGGAAAGTCTTAAGTCGAGATTAAAGTGCTCCCTTTACAAAAGTTGACGTGCAAATCCTATATTAAGCACCGAGATATTAATAATTCCCATAAACTAGATTATTATGAAAATAAGAATGAGCCCAATCAGACTGCATGATCTATTTTAACCCTATATATTTTTCAGCATACATAAATATTAATGTTAGGTCATGATTGAGAGTTGACTTGATTTTCCAACTAACACAACAATAATTGGAAGAACTAATGGTGCTTAGCACATAAAAAATTATTTCGACTCTTCTAGAGGAAAAACGTGGGCCTATTTTTATAATAAACCACTTATAAGATTCGAAAAATCATTCATCAGATTCCAATAACATGCTCAATAATTTACTTGTATATATACCATACCATAACTCCCAAGATTTGCTTGGAAAAAAGATAAGTCTGTTTTCTAGTGCACATTATAATTATATGGCGGCTGAAGAAGAAATCCTCAAGCTCTTTCATACTTGTTGGTTTGAACGAGAAATACTCAGATTTTCAGCTAATGTAACAGCCAAAGATCAAGTTCAAGAAAATACTCATGAAATTCAAGAATCAGTAAATCTCTTGAAGGGAAGATCACAAAGTGATTACTGTTTAAGCTTGGATAATACAAGTTTTAGTCCACTTGGGAATTCTCCAACTTCTGTGATTATCACACATAATAGAATTCAAGAACCAATAAAAGTAAGTGACAAGAAGAGGAGAAGGATTAAAAGGGGAGTTAAGGAAATTATTCGAATTCGGAGAAGCTCATCGGATCTTGAACTTGAAGAATTAAAAGGGTTTATGGATTTAGGATTTGAGTTTAGTGAAGAAGATAAAAATTCAAGATTGGTTAGAATTGTTCCTGGATTGGAAAAATGGGGAAAGAGGGCAGAGGAAATTGTAGAAAATAGTGAAAAGAGGGATGTAAATTCAAGGCCTTATCTTTCAGAATCATGGGAGATTCTTGAAAAAAGAAAGATGACTAAGAAATTGTTGAAGTGGAGAGTTCCTGCTATGAACAATGAGGTAAATATGAAAGATAATCTCAGAGTTTGGGCTCAAACTGTTGCATCAACTTTCAGATAAAACAGAATATTTGTACTTTCTCTCCTATGTTTGTTCCTTTTCTACTTCTTTCTTCCTTTTCATTTGTACTTCTAAGAAGTCTCGGTGCGGTAAAAATTACTGCGTGTAGTTAGAAGATTATAGGTTCTAGTCGTGAAAATAACGCCTGCAAAAATGTAAGATAAAACTGTTTATGATAGACCCAATATTGTGCGACTCTTCATTGCACCCTCTCACAGTAGGAATTTAGTGCCCTTTTTTAGTTTCTAATTTTCTTCACATTTTCCGGCCTAATTGGGCTTGTTGCAACTGTAAATATAACGACAACCACATATCTAATATATTCCCACATGTGAGGTGCAACTATATACATGGAGATGATAAAATCACGTATTACCTCTAGAGACAAACCTATGTTATACTGAGATGTGTCACCGACGCCCGTAAAGTTCGACAAAAATTCTATGTATACATGTATATGTCGTTAGAAAAGAGTGATACATTTAGTAGTGGATACCCTATATACAAAACATATATACTTTGGTTAAATCCAAAAGTATATCTGCGGCCTTCAAATCCTTGTTCCGCTTGACTGCCTCACTCTTTTTTCTAGTGTTCCTGATGTTTTAAACGTTAATGCCACACAAGGAGGGGGGGGGGGGGGTTGATTTGTGTGGTACCCAATTTTTGCTTAACTATTCTATAGAAGAACCAGGTTCTTCTAGGTGTTCCAACTACTACTGTTTGCGGAATAATAAATACTGAAAGTAAAGAACACAGAGATTTTTACGTGGAAAACACCTGGCTCAAAAGGTGAAAAAACCACGACCTACTACTCAATAGGATTTTCCCATACTTCCACTAAAATCACTGAGCCAAAACAACATTTACAAAACTCTTTGTAAACCTAAGGATTAACTCTAATCTCGTTGTAGCACACAGCCTCAACTGTTGCGACAACTTCAAGTTAGCTATAACTTGAACACTCTAAGTACCTAATACAATTGCTTCTATGAAAGCTGAAAGGTACAATTTTAAACCACCTACTACAATTGAACTAGAATAAAAGAAAGACACAATGGAACTGATTCTTCTATCTCGTTCAAGTAGCTTCAAGAGTGCACACTCAAATCTCGCATAAATTGCTTGCAAAATCGCCTTGCTCTTTTGCTCTCAATTTAGTTTAACTTCTGCGTTTGTGCAATACCTGTAAAAGAGAACAATCACTGTTATTTAATAGGTTAGTAATCAGAGTTTGATTGGGACTCAATTGCTGCTCTTCTATCGCAGAAAAGTTCACGATGATATCAAACTCTAACACTATCTTTATCCTGGATTATGTTCTCTTCATATAAGGAGACTTTTCTCTCCTTATCTAATATGCAACCTTTTCGATCAGATCAGGAGATATTGCTGCTTTATCAGTAGGACTTATCTCCTTTATGTGCCTCTCACATGTATAGGTTGATCATGACTGTGCTTCACAAGATGGACCTGGTCCATGACTGAGTTCATTTGTCATTCTTCAAAACTTCACCTGTTCTTGGGCCAACAAATTCCCCCTTTTTGATGATGACAAACTCTGTGCTTTTTACTGATTTGGAACCTGTATGAACTCAGCTTAACCATCAACACTAAACTTAGAAAATTCACTTATCATCAAGGACCAGGTTAATTAGGTTATAAACATCACTTATTTCAGAATGTGTAAAGCACAATATCTCTTCCCCTTTTGGCATCATCGAAAAGTTGCATACACAATGTGAATCCCAGATTTTAAGAAGTACTCATGGCCATTGGGGCAACTACAAGTGCAATCATGGTGCAATCATCAGTAATCAAACAAACATATTTAAACTATCAAGGACAGATTAATCATTGAACAAGAGAAAATAGCAGTTGTCATTAATAGAGATATGTTGCCACCTACGATCCACAAAAAGAAAGAAAAACATTCCAACCATGAGCAAAAAAAAAATAGAAAGATAGAAAAATCCCTAATCTGGGTCACTGGGGGTACTGAACAAGTTCAGGAGACAGGATCTAGAAGTCCTAAGGCTTGGAGGAACTAGAGGGTTGGGATTGGGTTTGGAGAAGATTCAACATGTTCTGAAGAATTCCATCATTCTTCTCCTTTTCTTTGGCAAGCTAGATCTGAGACCATCCCTCTTAGCTTCCACTTCAACCACACGTGCCTTGAGCCTAGCTATTTCATCATCCTTGGTTGCACATTCCTGAACCAGACTTCTAACTTTGCTGTTGATAGGTGCCTTCTGGGATGAACCAGGTTCATTTGGGATGGCATTGACTGGATAGTCACACGCAAGCAGAGTATTGATGCCAAAGTGTTCCTTGCTTGAGGCCATTTCCCATTTCTTCATAGGCACATTCAATCTGTCCAGAACTGTGGTTAGAATAAAGCCATAAGGAGTAGCATGAGCCTTGGAGCCATTTATGACCCTGTCTAGCAGCTTGATAATGAAAACAGGCCAATTGATTTGCTTTCCTCTCTCCAGGCACTCCATAAGGACCAGATCCATGTAGTTGGCAGTGTGACTTCTCTCCTGTCTAGGCAATAAGCACTTGTTGACAAATTCAAACACAACCTTGTGCTTAGGCCTCATTTCACTCTTCTGCACAGCCCGGGCTTCATTCACTTCTTCTGAATCACAAAACCTCCTGGTGATTTCAAGGGCAGTAGGGAGGGAGTCCAAGCAAGGCCACCTTTGCCTTGTGTAGTCATCAAACCCTTCAGAGGGTATGTCAAGAATATCTCCCAGTTTTTGTGCATCAAAGTGCACTTGGACTCCTTTCACCAGGCTTCTAACTATGCCATCCTTAACCACAGCATTTGCCATAAATTCAATCAACTCATTCCTGGCAAGCCTACCATCCATCTGAAGGACCATGTTCTTCCACCCCTGAGCTGCTAAAGCATCCACCAGCCTAATCATTCCTGGTTGCACCAGGTCTTTCAACAGTCTTCCCTTCAAAATTTTCCTTCTGCCAAACATGGCAAACTTGTCCTGTTCCTTCTCAGAATCATGTTCTTCTTCTTCTCCACTCCAGTCTTCATCATCAGAAATACTTGATTGTTTGTTTTTCACTGCAGATCTTAACCTCTTGACTAGTGAAGGTTCAACAGCCTCAGACACAGAGGAAGACTTCTTGGAGGAAGTCTTGGGCTTTTTAGGCTTGGGTGTAGGAACCTCCACTATTGTACCCCTTTCTTGATGGACCAGTTCCATCTCCTCTTCCTCAACAGCCTCTGAGGATTCTGCAATATTTCCCTTTCCCTTATCCATTTTCTTTTTCTTGTTTTCTTCTAAGGCTTTTTGTAGATCAGTTTCACTCTGTTTTACCCTGCTTCTTGTGGCTCTACCCCTAGGCACTGAAGAGGCAGTAGGTGTTACGGATGAAGCTTTTCTTTTCTTGGAAGGCTTGGGAACATTTGGGGTTTTTGTTGTGGGAGTTCTGCGTTTCTTTGGGTCATAGCTTTCCCCAACCTTTTTCAGTAGATCAGCCTTCAGTAGATGAAACAGGTTCATCTCTCTGTTTGCTCAGATGAACCAACCCCTCAGCAGCTTCCCCAGAACCACTTCCCCCTGACTTCAGGCCACTCGCTTCTACCCTTTCATGTTCAACCCCACAAATTGCAGGTACTACACTATACCCAGTTCCCCTCTCTTCACCACATGCACCCTCTCTCTCTTTTCTTTTTCTAACTTCTTTTTACCTCCACTCCTACGTATCTCAGGCAACTCAACATCCCTAATGGGTCCAACCAGAACAAACCTAGTCTCTAAATTTTCAATTACAGGTGAACTTACCTTGGAAGGTGATTCTTGAGTCTTTTCAGAGCCAGAAGACCCATGTCCTTCCCCCTGAGTAGCAGATTGATAGGATTCAGACTCAGAGCTGGAGTCAAATTTTTGAGCTTTGCTTGCTTTCACTTGGCTTGCTTTCAACCTTTCATTTAAAGCCTTCCTCAGAGCACCAGATGCCACAGTCTTTCTAGCAAGCATTTTTACCCTTCGTAGTCTAGGTTTTGGAGATTCACTGGGTGGAGTGGTTGAGGATGAATTTGAGGGAGATGGTGGTGGAGGAGTTCCAGGATTTTCTTGTGAGTTAGACATGATCGTTGATTCTTTGAGAAAATTTGGGAATTTTGGAGAAGAGGGTAAGTGAAGATGACAACGAATTTTTGACGGTTTAGATTATGATGAAGACTGGAGAATTGATATGTATCTAAAGGGGCTTACACATTTAATAAGTAACGGCAGCCTTTTGCAGTGGTCAAATAGGAGTCTAATCAACGTGAAATTCCAGATTTTGAATAATCTATTTGGCTTCCCTAGATATTAGGCAAAAATTACGGTTTAGAGTTCTAGATGGACGGAACTGGTTCAATGCTAATGGATAGAATTTTCTAGGAATTTGACAAGTATAGGACTTCTGCTCATGATTGAATTATTAATCTTTCTAATTGTGCAGAGTATAGAAAACATACCTGAGCTTTCATATGAACCCATACTGATGAACCGGGTTCTTCATTTAGAACTCTCTTGAACATGCCTCAAATGCCATAATAGAGAAAATTTTGTAAGAGATCAGTGGGTCATATGAACACATGTCACAGGAGTATACTAATTAAAGTATGAAGCTGAGTAAGAATTAATCTAGATATTTACACATGTTTAGAATTCCTAGCCAAAAAAATAATTTTTTTTTCATTGTGCATTCTGAGCTGGACCTATTAGGTGATCTTAATCATCCCTAATTCCAACCTGTTCCTCTCAAAAATTTCTCTACTCAGTGCTTTAGTGAAGATGTCAGCAATTTGTTTATCAGTAGCAATTCTATGGAGATCAATCCTTTCTCATAGTTATCTCTCAAGAAGTGGTGTCTAACATCTATGTGCTTAGTCCTCTTATGATGAACAAGGTTCTTTGTCATACTTATAGCACTAGTGTTATCACAGAATATAGGAATGCAACCAACTTCAATGCCAAAATCTTACCAGCTGTTGTTTGATCCATAGTAGTTAAGCACAACAAGATGCAACAGCAACATATTCAGCCTCATCAGTGGATAAGGCCACTGAATTTTGCTTTTTAGTGGCCCATGATACAAGACATGAACCAAGAAAGTGAGCCATACCTGAGGTGCTTTTCTTATCCACAAGGAAACCTGCATAATCAGCATCAGCATATCCTACTAGAT